CAACTCCATTCACTGCTTCCCACTCTCAGAGTTTTCACGCCTCTCTCCTTGCTGTGTTGCTTGGGACGTAGCAGCGGCTGCAGGAAATTCAAATTACAGCTTCCAGTGGTGCGGGGTCCAGCTTCCATGCTGAGACCTTATCTGTTCCTGTTATATCACCAGGATTGCATTTCCAGTTGGTTTCTCTTAGTTTAGTTCGTACCTGGGTCGGCAAAGTATATCTCCCCTTGCTTAGGATTTCTTACCTGGCACCATTCCTGGATTTTAAGTGCTGTTTCTCAGAAAGCCTCTGAAGCTGCTGCTATCTATCTGCCATGTTCCCCTGGAAGTCCCAAAAATGGTTATATTTCAAAAACTGATAACTTTGACATGATCCCAATCAAAATACCAATAACATACATTACAGAACAAGAGAATACAACCCTAAAATTCATGTGGAACAGGAAGAGACCCAGAATATCAAAAGCAAACTTGGGCAGTAAGGGCAAGAGAGGAGGCAACACAATCTCAGACCTCAAATTATATTGCAAAGCTACAGTGATTAAAACCAGCATGCTACTGTCACAAATCAATAGAACAGAGCTGAAGATGCAGAAACAACCACAAACACATTCAGCCACTTCATCTTTGACTAAAAGACCAAAAACATGCTAGGGGAGGTACCTGTTTAACAAAGGCTCTTGAGAAAACTAGCTATTCACACATAGAAAATAGCACCCAGGTCCATAGGCACTGAATTAAAATAAAAATGGATCAAGTATTTAAATGTTAAAATAGAAATACTTAATCTACTGTGAGAAAATAAACAAAACTCTTGAAGTTATAGGGACAGGCAAGAATTTGCTGAACTGGACCATAATTGGACAAGACATAAATATCAAGAATAAATGATGAGGTCATGTCAAGTTAAAAAATGTTTTGTGTAGCAAAAGACACAACCAAAAGAGACAACCTACAGCATAGGAAAAATCATTACCAGCGACTTGTCAGACCGAGGACTAATATCTAGGATATAAACAGGACTCAAAAAACTTAGATCTACCAAAATAGAAGACCTAATTTAAAAAATGTCCAGTTGAAATGAATTAATAAACACTTTTTAGAAGTACAAATGGCCAATAAATATGTGAAAAAATGTTCAACATTTCTGCCATTAGAGACATGAGATTACACCTTACTCCAGAAAGGGTAGTTAACATCAAGAAATGAAATGGTAAATTCTGGAGAGTCTATGAAAGGAAAAGGAACCCTCCTACACTGTTGGTGGGAGTGTAAATTAGGTCCATCATTACAGTAATCAATATGGAAATTCCTCAAAAATCTCTAGAAGAACTAGACATTCCATTTAACCCATGTATTTCCTTTCTAGGTATGTTCCCAAGAATTAAAGACATCATATTACAGTGACACATGCAAATCCATATTTATGTCAGTACATCTCACAATAGCTAAATCTTGGAAGCAAGATTTAGTCCATCAACAGATAAATGGGTAAAAATGTGGTATTCACACAAAATGGAGTGGCACTCTCCCATACGGAAAGATAAACTTGAGTCATTTGCAGGAAATTGAATGCACCATGAGAAAACAATGTTAAGTGAAATAAATCAGGTACACAATTTTAAATGCCAAATGCTTTCTCTTATGTGAAAAATCCAAAATATAAATAAAGGGCAAAATAAAGGGTAGATAATAGGAAATAAAGAGGTAGATATTTTGTAAAAAAGAAAGGCATCATGATATGGAAAGAAGAGTGTAAAAGGATGAATAAAGAACTGGTGTGTTATGTACACGTACCAACTTGCCTTGAGGAATGTAATATTTATACTGAAAACATGTATCAGTAACAAATAAAAATTGAAAGAACAAAGAATCTTACATGTCTACTATGGATAGGTATCAGGGTTATTGGATGGTGTTAGGGAGCACTTGAGATAATGAATTTAGAGCAGAAAGGTGATCAGGTCTCTGGAAGGGGCAGCATTTGTACTGGTAATAAAGAATGTGGAGACTCAGGAAGGGCTGAAGACCATAACAAGGCCACGGAATCACTGGACTGAGGAGCCTGGCGGTGTTCAGAAATCACGGGAGTCACGCACGAGAGGGAATGGGCTGAAGATACAAACCGTGAACGCCCTGCGACATCCTCTTTTCTCTCTCCCCTTCAGTAAATGACTTTATGTTATTTCCTATTAGACATTTGAGTATATTACCCTAATTGCCATTTTTTTGCATCCCACTTTTTAAAGTTAATTTGCTTTTCTGTGTGTTTGTCTCTTAGTCATCTTTGTTTTTAAAAATTTTTGAAATACTTTATCAATTAGGGTTAAAATGTTTATCTTGCTTTCAACTCTTAGGAATGGTTTCTTCATATATAACTTCATAGCTTTTATTTCCATAAATAACTCCAATATGAACTCCAGTGAAATGTTTTTCATCTTGTTGGTGTCCTCACTGGAGTTTCCTATAACACCTGCTATTTTAAATAAGAAATCCTTAGACTCAGAATTGTAACTATTACCATTAAATGATTCTATTTTTTCTAGGTATTTATCCATAACATAACAATACTTAGAGGTGTAACTTAATTCAAGATTTTAAATACAAAAATAGCATTATATGAGAATTTTTCAATAAAACTAAAATACTTTATACATTATATGTAGCATAATTTATTAAAACTAGTTACTAGCAAAAGACAGTATCCAAGGAGACAGTGCCCAGATCATGTATAAAAATGAAATTCTGACCCATTACCTGCTCACCCGGCCCAGAGAACCAACACAATATCTACAACAACCAGTCCCAGAAGCCAAACATCAACTCCTGCAGCAACTGGCCACAAATGACCGGGACTTGATTACCAACTTGACTGGTAGCTAATAACTTATCTAATATTCACTGTGCATTTCCACCTTAAGAACAACCAAGGAAAGTCAAATATATCCTACTAAGCAATCAAAAGAATGCCTTCTAATCTGTCCTCTAGACTTACCATGGCGTCTCCAGTTGGGGGTCGACCACAGACTGCCGTGCTCCCACTGCACCCCTGCCTCTGTCTCTGCCAAATGCAAATGATGGTGGGTGACTTTCTACTGCAAGCTCTGAATAAGTAGTCTTCATACATTTTCATTTAGATGGCTTTGTTTCTACAGGAATGTATAGATATAGATATTATATATTATAGTTCCCAGCAGTAAATTCCAGTACCTAATTATTACAGAGCTGCTTAAACCTTGGCCCGCTACAGCTAGTGAAAATATCTCAACAGATGGATTTTATATGTAGTGTTTATGTTCAAAGTCTTTATGTGTGAGTAATGGATGCATTGCTTGGGATACTGTAAATATAGAAAGCAACAACCTATCTTTTCATTCCATTTTCAAACTGATGAATGCATTAAAATTGTGTTGTGTTAGAGATTTCGTTAAGCAGATTTTAACTGTTCTTGTTACAGAAAAGTATCAATATATAAAAACGGATGATAATGTGCTTCTCTGTAGAAACTATTTTACTATCTATTCTTTTCTCTTTGTGTGTGTGTGTATTTATTTTTCAATAGCATACTTATATGTTCAAATATACACACACAAATGTGTGTTTGAAATACAAGTGAGTTTGTTGGGTAACCATTTAGATATACAAGCCTGAAGCTTAGAGAAGAAATTAGAAATGTAAATCTGACAGTCATGAGCATAGACATAGCATAGTTGAAACAAAGGAAGAGAATAAAAGCAAATGAGATAAAGAAGATATGTAAAAGCTAAACCCTGAGAGTTTTAAAAGATTTATTTAGTGACTGGAAAGAGGTTGAAGAGTCAGTTAAAATCTTCTGAGTTGTTGCTCTGTAACAAGCAGTTCTACAGAAACTTTAAGCCAGCTTTCATCTTTGAAGCATTTGATGCAATCTATTGCCAAAGTTGTGCTCATCGTGTAGTATAGAGGGGCTTGAGCTCATCTTCTTTGTCAATTATCAACAATTTAAAGCCACAAGGTAGCTACAATTATCTTCTTTGGATATTTCTCAACAAGCTTTTGATTTATATGTTCTAACCAAACACTGAAGGAACTGTGAATGATTTAGTGTCTGTAATATTAATATCTACTCAATCCTTCTAATCTTTAGTGCCTGTTTCAGTTCATTTTGTGTTTGGATAGCAGAATTGCACAGGCTGAGAACTTATAAGGAAAAATTTGTGTGTCACAATTTTAGAGGATGAAAATTCCAATATCAAGATACTGGCATCTGGCAGGATCTTATTGTGTCATTCTGTGGATGTTAAGGGAGACGGGGTGGGAGGACGTTCGGTTTCTTAGTATGTCCATTCTTAGGAAAAATGATGCTGCTCCTGCGCCAGTAACATTAATCTATTCATGAGGACGTAGCCTTCTGCTCACTTCTTTAATCTCAGTGTTGTTGCCCTGGGGATTAAGTTTTCAGTGCACCGACGTCGAGGGATGCATTCAAACCAAAAAAGTGCCTCAGAGCATGTGGTGAGATCCTAGGACCTAAATAAGTGTTATTTTATGCTATAATTTATCATGGCAGACATTGAATAATAACAGTCATTCTATGTACCAGCATGACAATCTAAAAATAATTGTTGTAAAGATGAATTCTCATTCATTCCCTCTAGCAGCAAAAGCTCTTATGAATGAGAAACAAGGTATTTCTTGAAAAAAAGACCCTCATATCTAAACTCTTTGACCAGTGTTTTCACTTCCAATGCTCTATGCACCTTTGGTCTGTTGATGTTTACTTTCTGCCCTTGTGAAGCTGTGGGACCTGATGGGATATGTGCTGTGATCAGCATTCCAGGGAAGAGAACCACAGATAATGACAGTGGTGCCTGCAGGTCATCAGATGATGTCTCAGTCAACAGGATTTGTTTTTAGCACAGTCTCGTGATTGGCTAAGAGAAGACGGCACGTGACTGGCTGTGTTTGAGCAAGAACCCTTTTGATTATGTAGTCCATTGCTGGTCAGACGGAATGGGTTAAATGCTGAGAGGAGGAGGGCAACTCTGCACGTCCTTCACCTGGTTTGAATCTCATAGTGAAGATTCCAGAATTTTTATCCCAAGACGATTTCCAACAGCTGTCAAGAAAAGAAGCAGAAGTCACCTAATGACAGAACTAAGTCAAGATCACAAGCTACATGGTATGAAAAATAATAGTTAAAGGAATTCATGTGTGTTTTAAAATCTATTTTTTTGCTTCTGTGATAGTCTATGATAGTTTTTAAGATAGGATTTTTAAAGTCTACTTCTTGTTTTGTATTTAAGTTCTGTGATGCTCAAATTTTATTCTTTCTGCTTGAACTTTAAATGAGTACTTACGCATTTCAGTGTGTTGTTAAGTAATGTACTTCCAGTCAATTTAGAAATATCTTGAGAAATTTATAAAACCACTTGTTTTGTCTGAACAGTTTAATGTGTTCTTCAAAGTTTGTATCGCAGGCTCCTGGAGATTTCTGAGATTTTTTTATTGCAGTCAAAACTCTTTTATATCCCTGCCTTTCCACTCTGTTAGTGTTCGTATTGGCAGGGAAAAATGAGTATAACTACCACTGCCATAGTGTGAGTTATGACAAGTTTTATACCAATTACTGAAAGTAAGCTGCCAAGTGTCATTTTATTGTTGCTTGCAAGCACTCACAAGAAAAAGAAGAATTTTTATTTCACTTAGGACCATCTTTGATGGAGAGTACAAATTGTTGCTTTATTAAATGTTGGTCATTAAGAACAGATCTTGTTTAATATGCTAGGTGACAAAATGAAAAGTGCATGTAAACACTTCTCCATAGAGAAATCCAACAATTGATCGTCTTGAGAAAGTCCTTGAGCATTTGAGTTGAAAGATGAAATAGTTATACAGAATTTTCCATGATTTTTTGATTCATCACAAACAATGGTTACTTTAGACTTACATTTTTGGCAGACAGTTTTTACCATTCACATATACGTACTGATCGATTTGCTTGTATTGGCCCTGTGTCCTGTGCCTGATGCGTACATTCCCTGTGTGCAGTTGTGTACATTCCCACATGTGCAGTTCACATGTGCAGTCGTTTCGTTTTCTCTTCAGCCCGTTTTCTACTCTCTTCTGCTGATCCTCTGAGCCTTTGAAGAGGAACCATCTTCCCACTTCCTATTATTATCTGTTTTTCATTTTGCTGTTTATTTAATTTTGGGATTCACATACGAAAGAAACCATAGATTATTTAAGCTTGTGTGTCTGATTTATTTCATTTAACATTATGGTCCCAAGATGCATCCATTTTCCTGTAGATGACCTAAGTTTGTCATTTTCATAGCACAGTAGTACTTCATTGTGTGTAAATTCTGCATTTTTAAATCCATTACTCTGTTGATAGACACATAGCCTGCTTCCAAGATTTAGCTATTTTGAAGTAAGCTGGCATAAACATGAGTACGCATGGATTATGGTAACATGATATCCTTAACTCTTTTGGAGAAAATACCTACAAGGGAAATAGCTAGGTCAAACGAAATTGTCGGTTTTAGTTTTTTGAGGAACCTCCGTTGTAATTACATAGTGGCACACTATTTTACCTTCCCACTAAACTGTCTTTTCTTTCAGCAGCATTCATCATTATTACTTTTTTTTCTTTTTTTCTTTCTTTCTTTTGACAGTGTTTCCCTTTGTAGTTTAGACTGGCCTTGAACTCACTATTTAACCTGGACTGGCCTCAAATTCACAGTGATTCTCCTGCCTCAGCCTCCTGAATACTGGGATTCAGCACATGTCACCATACTCAGTCTTACCTGATTTCTTGATGATGCCATTCTTTCTGGGATAAGACAAATACTTGCTATTGCTTTAATTTGCATTTCTCCAGTGGCCAGGGATGGTGACCATTTCTTTGCATCTTTTTGGGCCACTTGTACTTCTTTGGCAAAGTGTCTGTTCATTTTGATTGCCCATTTTTTTTCATTGATTCTTTTATTTTGAGGGCCTAATTTGTTTTTAATTCTTTAGATAGTCTGGATATTAGTCCTCTCTCTAAGGAATAGTTAGCAAAACTTTTTTCCTTTCGATCAGTTGGTTGTAAGAATTGATTAAGTGAGCCTGTAATTTCAAGGAATAAAATAAACAATTATTGTTAATATACATGTTAGACTTTCAAGTAAAAATTAGAATTAGTAAAAGCTTGTATAATATCTTGTGAATTTGACAGCTTCCTAGTACAGCTTTTTCACAATGAGATTAGCACTTTATTGGGTGACAGAATGAGTCAGCCTGTGGGGGAGAGATTTGCATAACTATGTGAACTGAGTGAACTGATGCTCTATGAATAGTCTGTGCATGACATAACTAGGTCATGTGTGTTAAAATGTGACATAGACCAATGGGTGCTAAGATAACAGGGGAAAAGAGTGGCAAAGCAGCGTGGTGGTAGGATATTTACCATCATACGCCAGGCCCTGGCTTTACCCTCCAGGAGCCCTGCCCCACCCACATACACACAGAAGAATAAAAAACTATTTCATGGCTATGACTTCAGAGTCTATTCCTCATTCCTTCTATAGATCTGTAGGAAACAGGATTTTCTTAAAATCCCTCAATCAAGACAACACATTTCCATATATGTATGATAGAATGGATAATTGTTTGGAGAATGTAATCTTTAAAAATAAAAATATGGCATTTACATATAATTGATTATTATGTCAAATGAATTAAAATATGTATTTTAAATTTCCCTTCTTAAATTTGTGATTGGTAAAGGTCAATAGCTAACTCATATAAACCATAACTCTTGAGCCCACAATAATTTTTAGAAATATGAAAAGAACTTGAAAGCAAAACATGTAAGTACCTCTAACTTAATTCTTTACAAAAGAGAAGCCAGTAGTAATAGAAATACCAATTGGTTGAATATTAACTTATTAGAATTAAAGCTAAATTAAATGTACATAGATATATGTAAACCCACAAAAATCTTACCTCTTCCATTCAGTGACTCAGCCCTTCCCATACTGAACGTCTGATAACGGTGCAGATCAGTGCTTGTGCTCTGTGTGGCATTTTTTGTTTTAACACTTACCTCTTACACGCAGGCACTGAATATTCTAGTTGTTGCCAAGGTCATGATTAGGATCTCAGACAGTAGTGTGTGTTTTTGTTCAGGACTCGATCTAATGAAAGTAGCCCTGGTTTTGTCCTTGGTCCAGTAATTAAAATAATAGAATTATCATTACTTTAGAATAGCAAAAGGAATTGGAAATTATGTAGTCCAAGTGTTCTTTGGGCAGAGATGGAAACGGAAGTTCTGAAGCAGACACAGTTAGGTAGTCTGTGGCTACTTCTGGAAACAGCAGCTGGATTCCTTGTCCAATTTTTAATTTTCCTGCTAATTTGGCTCTATCAATTTTTTTCTGTTACATATATAATCATTGATCTTGAGGGCTAAATATTCAATTATTATTTTAACCAATTTCATAGTCTTAAATTTTGAAACTTTCCCCTGTTCCTTCAGTCCATCAGGAGGGCCCGGTTGTGTTAAATTAATGTTTTGAGGTTTAGTAACAATGTTTTTAAATTAAGTGCTGGTAAATTCAATGCTGAAAATCAAATTTAGAACTTTAGCTTAATTTTGTTTTGCCCCAGTGGCTGGTATAATACAGACTTTATATACAAAATGGAGAAGGAATATATATATATATATATATATATATATATATATATATATATATGGTGATTATTTAGGTAATATTGCCATTTAAACTAGTCCTTATGAGGAATTATACAGAGTCCACCAAAAAGATGTATACACACTTCATCAGTCCACCATGCTAATAAATGTCTGGAAGCTAGTGGTCACCACTTTGAGCATCTCTTGTAATTATCAAGACCAAAGGTAACTTGTGTTAATCTCACAATGTCTCAATAAATTTAGTATTAAAACATTTATAGATGATTTTCCTTTTCTGAATTATATATATATTTTTGGTGGACTTTATAGATTAAAAATATTTGAAGAGCTACAATTTGAGAACATTCTGAAGTTTATATTTAGAGGAAGAAATATTGGTCAGCATTCCATAGTTAAGACAAAATACCTAACATGCATAACTTAAAGGGAAAAAGGTATATTTTGGTTCTGTATGTCAGAGATTCCATCTTGGTCAGCTGGCTCCAAGGCAGGACCACCATCGTGGAAGGGCGTGGGGGAGGAAATCCACCCCCATCTTTTGGCATCTGGGAAGTGGAGAGAAAGGGAAAGAGACAGAGAGAAAGGAGCGTAAGTTTCTCAGGGTTTTGCACGGCAGCCCATCCAGACACAGCCGGAAGTGTCCTTTACCAATCTCCTAGGTGTCTTTTAAACTGATCTATATGATAACTAAGATTAACCTTTCATAAAAGTTGTAGTATTATAATCTCACAGTTTTATGTCCCTTTTTCCACTTTTTTCTTGTTTTTCTTGTTTTTTAATTGTTTTCTTCTCTTCTGCATCCCTGAATAATGTCTTAAAATATTGCATGAATTTTTACATATTAAAAAGATTGCCTTAGTTTGTTGCCAGCTTCATATATAAAATATTTAGCCTTGAATGGGATTTCACATGGCTCAGTTGAGGAGGAGTCACCCAGAGAAATCAATTAAAAGCACAGGTAATTGGAAGAAAGGGAGAAAGAGAAAGCATGCATCTTGATGCCAAAATCAATCTGAAATAAGAGACTTGTAGATCAAACAAAACATAGACATAGAAACTTAATGAAATAGCAGTCCAGGCCACAGGGCTATGGTGGGTTGCCCACCTATGGTTGGGGCAGAGTCACCATACTTGGTGGTCTAAAAATTAAAATAAAATAAAATGAACGGGCTGAGATAATTTGGCTAACTCAAGCCACACACATAAACTTGAGACATAAGGCCCCTTCCCCCTTCTGCGTTCCTCCAGACAAAGGATACTGCAACCTTGAAGCAGACACACAAGAGTGAGTAGACTACTCTCCCCCTGACAAGCCACAAGGCTGTTCTTTCTGTTTGTCTGCTTGTATTGTTGTGTGCCAGAGTGACTAGCTAGAACCTTAAGGACAACGAGGTAGAGACCACAGCTGTGGTGGCAGTGAAGGTCATGAAAGGAACAGCACGACCCCTCCTGCCTCATGACCAGCGACCCGAGAGAGGGAT